GGGGGGGGGGGGAGCAGGGCATGGTGTTCCACGTAGGTAGATCAGACAGACAGACTGTGAACTCTTGAAGTGTAGTGCTGGTTATGGTCCTATGTGCAAGGAAAGGCAAATCATAGCATAAATGTGAATCAGTACTAGTCATAATGAATTGTTGCCCTTTCTAGGAGAAAGGGACTGATGTACCCAACTTGTCTCCGAGTTTCTGATTGGTCTCCTTGAGTGTAGATACCATGTGAGAGCTCTTTTGCTGGCAGGTCAGATATACTGCCCCTTGCAGTAGCTCTGTCTCCCTAGGTAAGCAAGCCCGTAATGATGGGCCAGAGGATGGCATAGCAACCTCTGCCATCATGGCTATGCTTTTTGTGAGCCAGTTGCACAGCACTGGGGTTGCTAAAAACGGTGAAATTGGTTGCTTCATCTTAAGCACTTGTTTGGTTAGTGTACTCTGTATAGAGTGATTGAGTATTGTTGTAGGAGGCTGGTGGGGGGAAGGGTTAGAAGAGAGTTTCTTGCTTCTACATAACTGCTATTTCCTTTCTCAGGTCTACACCCCAATAAGGACTCTTTCCAATATTTTCTGTGTGTTTCATGTTGGGCTCATGAGAAAGAACTTGTAGGAGGGTATTTCTACTATACCTAGAAGCTTCACCTATACCTGGCCCTCACCAATTTAATTATTCTACCTGAGCTGTCCCAATTGTGTCTCCCCTATAGGGAGGACTTATGGCTCCTTGCAAGCACCCGTCTCTCCTCAGATTTTGGGCCAGAGTTTTGCTTTGTCACACCATGTCTCTGATGAGGTGTGTTTTTTTAAAGTTATGAATTTGAACTTAGTTCTTTAATAAAGCGTGAGTGATACTTCTTTACAGTTTACTAAATATATATCTCAAAATGGAAGCAGGAATTTTCCATTTCTGAGCTTTTAAATTCTGGCAATGTCCTCACCAGTGTATTTTTTTAAACTTGGTGAATGGAATATCCTCCAAGGTCTTCCAAGGCACATTTATTGGTTGGTGGGTGATCTGGTCTTATTTGATAGATTTAGCATACCTACATCTAAACTCTTGCATCTTTTCCTTCACAATCTGCTGTTACAATTCTGGAATTTTCTAAGCTTCCAAGAAATCTCAGCAGAGTATCAGGAACCATTGCCAGTGTCACTTCAGTCGATGATAATGAGGTGGATTATGTGTGAATGACAACCTGGGGGTAAAAACCAAGTTACTAGTCAGCATACTTTACACTGTTTAAAAGATGTTATTTCTCAAAAAACTTGGAAGTATAAGGTAGGGCTTTGGAATTCTGTTAAGTGAGTAACGCTGAGTCTAATGATTACACCTATATTGAATATGTCTGAAAAATGTGATAATATTGTTTTATGAAATGAAAAGTGGGAAACTCATATAAATATAATATTTTATTTAAAAAAAATATATATGGGTGCTCAAATTACTATTAGATATTTGAATATTTGATATCCTTAACATTTATATGTTTAAGTGGGACATGGCCTAATTGCCCACTTGGTTATTTGAAAGAAATTCATTAACAAACTGTGTTAAGGAATTCCAACATATAATGAGATTAAACATTATTAACTTACCCTGTTCATACCATTTAAAAAATATATTCAAACTGTCATGTATTAAAAGATTGAATTTCAGATGAGGTATTCATGTAGACATTACAAAATTTAAAAAGAAATTTTCTGCTTTTTTCCCCCTAGCTCAGAAGCTTGTTGTATACTTGCAACATGGTTTGCTTACATCTGCCAGCAGCTGGATTTCCAATCTTCCTAACAACAGCCTGGGCTTCGTTCTGGCAGATGCTGGTTATGACGTGTGGATGGGGAACAGTAGAGGGACTATCTGGTCCAGAAAACACTTGTACCTAAAATCAAATTCCAAAGAATTCTGGGCTTTCAGGTACAAATAAAATCAAGTAATGTTTCATTTTATTTTATAAGTTTATTGAACATTCTTTTTTAATGAAACAAAATAGAAGTCTTCTTTCTCAATAGACCTTACTTTAAGCTTGTTTCTCATTTTTCAGTAGTGATCTCTGTTGAATAACCCCACCCTTCCTTTAATTACTCTTTCACTCGGTAACCTATATATTTAGTCTATCTCACTATCTTTAGAACAGTCAAACACCCTTTTATAAGACTGCCTTATGGCTGTTTTATTTCCTGGACTTTTTGTTCTCACAGAAGTCTATTCAGTAGATACACTATACCATGTAACTTCTTGATAATACCCAACAAGAACTGAAAACTGCTTTTATTCATTCATTAAATTCAAATGTTAATATAACATTAGTAGAAAGTTCATTTTTCTTTTTCTTATGTAGTTTTGATGAGATGGCTAAATATGACCTTCCAGCCTCCATTGATTTCATTGTGAAGCAAACTGGACAAGAGAAAATATTTTATGTAGGCCATTCACAGGGCACTACTATTGGTATGGCAAGAAAGACTGTTGCTAATATTCCTTAATTACATTTTTTAAAATTTGTAGATATACTTCTTAAGGATGTAGATAAGCTTCTCAACCTATAAGTGAAGCAAAGCAGAACTGAAACAAGCTTGGAATAGCAGCGCCCTAGGAACTTACATCCGACTTCAATTCCACATAGTCTTCTCTATGAGGAATTGATTGTATAAACAAGATTGTTTATGGTTTTGTTCGTTTTCAATTGTATAAAAGTTGTATATTCATTTCAGATCAAAGATTGTAACTATTACTTGTTCCACAAATAGAAATTTCATAATTTTTTTAAACTATAGCTTAAGGCCTTATGAGCGACCTGAAAAGGTTATTTATATTTTTGCATTTAGAGCAGATTAAATTTAAGAAATACACAAAGATGAGAAAAATCTTTCTATATTTAAAGACAGCTAGAAAAGAACTTTCATCTCCTTACAACAGTAATGCTTCTATCTAATATGTAACAACGTACATTTCAGAAAAAATTTCCTTAGGCTAACGTAATTCTCTTACATGAAATTGTAAACCTGTTTATGTAAACTTAGTCTTTCTACTTTGGAATTATGCCATTTTATAATAGAAACTAGTATAAAATGAGACTTTTCTAGACTGAAGAGTGTCTCTTTCTTATAGGGATTATCTGCTTCCTACTAGAAAAAGTGTCTTGAATAACAATCTAATCCAGTTTTTCATAGATCTTTTCTCAGACATTTATTAACCATGTGTGACTTTTAGTCCAAATTCTCATCAGCTATTCAGTTATCTGGAACTAAGAATCCCAGAAAATTACTAAATTTAAAAAAGGGTGATATAACAGAGCTTGTTGACTCATAATATGATATATAATTCTTTGGTTATTTGACTTCTCAGAAACGGGGGTTGGGGGGAAGCAATAAAAATAGATAAAATATGTGCAAGTAGATAGCTTGATGTCAAGAAGGGAAAAACGACTGTCATATTAATGACTTTACACTATCAATAAAATATAAACTAGTGTTTAGTATTCTCTGTACAAGAAGGCAAGGAAGTTGTAAAATATATTAAAAGTAATAATACAATTTGACATTTATTGAATTTTTCACCTAAAGTGTAAGATTCATCTACCTGAAAATTTCACTAAGCTCATTTTTACCATTGTCAATTTTACAAATGTTCAATATTTTTTCTTATTTTTAAACTGTGATGTTACAAAACTGATTTATTGCTGAATTATCATCATTTATAGTCTATACATGTTTTTTAGTCCTAATCATCATCATTATGTTGTGATCAATATGCATGCCTTATGCTGGATTATCAATAAATGTTTGATAAGTGAATTTAAAAATGAATAAATTAATTGTTTAGAGCCCATTGAACTTAGTCTTATTCACTGTGGTGTCATTTCTTACATTCTAGTAATTACTTAATAATAGTTAACATATCTTTTTTTTCAGCTTTCATAACATTTTCCACAATACCAAAGATAGCTGAGAGAATCAAAATATTTTTTGCCTTAGCACCAGTTTTTTCCGTTAAATATTTAAAAAGTCCTTTACTTAAAATGGCATTCAAGTGGAAGTCAGTGATCAAGGTATGCTGTTTCTTTCTTTTATGTAGTTGATAACCCACAATGACAGTGATTCTTACTTTAAAAGTAAAGTCTTAACTGTGCTCGTCCAGCCACCTTTATGAAGGGAATTTTTTTGTTTTATTCACACTGGATTCTTGCCTTTGTTTCTGGAAAGTAATAGGACATTACTTGTGTTACTTTTGAACAGCCCATTGCGAAAGAAAATCTAGCAGTCAAATCATCTCTAAATTCTGCTTCTAAGTTGTATCCTTAATTTAAATGTTTTCAACTACTGTGAGATATTGCGTTCAGTTATAAACACAGTGAAATCATATCATTTCTTCATGAATTATTTTGGTCTTCTAATTATGAATAAAATAAATTTATTTTATAGATTTTTTTGGGCAACAAAGACTTCTTACCTAATACCTCTTTTAAAAGAATTATTGGTTCAAAGATATGTCCACTACAGATTTTTAGCAAGATTTGCCATGATTCCTTGCTTCCGATATTTGGATATGGCATGAAGAACTTAAATATGGTAAGAACAAGTATTTAAAATGTATTTTGTCAATTTTTAGAAAGCACCTCTTAATAGAGCTCATTTTGTGCTTTGTGTGTCATTTTATGATTTATCCATGTAAACTAGTAGTTAGATTCTTTGCCTTAGATTCTGATTTTTGTGTTCATGCCAATACTGTGAAACTGATTTGATTTACACACGGGTTATTTTGCTTCCATATTTGTGCTGCTTGCTCTCTGTAAATAGCAGAGCAGCTGTTGTGACGGGCATCTTCATCAGCCTTTGCTGTTAGGTGTTAGTTTCCTGAGGTTTCTTGAATTTAGTTTGTCTTCCATTCCCTTGTTTCCCATAACCTCTCCTCTTATATTCTGGTTCCTAACACTGCTTCTCTTACTTGCTGATCCTTTTGTAAACAGAATTAGTACCTGTCAGTTATCTTACATGCTTTGGGCATTCATCAAAATTTCTAGAGTGGAAAACTGTTTTTAGATACAGGCTACTATTACCAAGTCCATTTGGATTGATTGTGTGTATATTCTCTTAAAGATGTAGGTTCTAAAACTTTTCAACAAATTAAACTAAAATTCCATATTTGGCAGAAGCATTTGTGGCATTTGGACTAATGGTTGGTTCTTATACCTGGACCTTTTAAGCACTTCTCAATGAGAACCAATTTATTCATTCAAAGAAAGAGAAATTTTCTCTTAATTCCCAAACACATTTTTCATGCCACAAAGATATGTTGATTTCATTCAACCTCAAGAAGGTATTACCCCAGTCCCAGAGGGCTATATAGACAATTACATAAATATGAAAGAAATGCTTCATAATAGAAGAAATGAACTCATCTATCTCCATTTTACCCATAAAGGTATAACTTCTGCCATAGAAGTTTTAAAAAAGGTATTGTAATATAGTCTATCATATTATCCTGTCCATCTAGTGTTATGTAACTACCAAGCACAGACATATACATGTTTTAAACACAGTGTTTTATATATGTCTTATTCACTGATTGACGTTCCCAGAGACTATACAGTCAATGCAAACCTAGATTACAGATTGACAGGAGAGCTGCTATATTTTTTAATCAGCTTCACTTTCAGTTGTGTAGCACTTTGGGCTCCCAGTTTATCATGGAGAAGGTTTCTTTTTAAATCTCCCAACTGCTTTGGGAGGCCCTCAGCTGATTTTTGTTTTCCTCAACTAGCTAAGTTCTCAAAATGAAACTTCAAATTCTCTAGGATAACCTTAAGAAAATGTGGCTATAATTCTTTGCTATTCTCTTTGGATTCTTAGTTATTTCTGTTCCATTTGTCCTGGTAATTTTTTTCTATCTTTTCAGTTCCTTAGTACTTTCAAAAGGTATGTTTTTATGTGTTCCATCACTTTTGATTTTTTCCATTTTGGAGTAATAGACCATATAACTTAGAAATCCAATAATAGCTTCTACATTAATGCAAAAATCGTACATTTATGTATTTAAATTTATTATTATAAATTTTTCTGAAATTATTTAGTTTAAAAAATATCAAATATTAGGCTTTCTCTAGATTAAGTATAAATATATATTTTTTTAACTCCTCAGAGTCGTATGGATATTTATCTGTCACATAACCCAGCAGGAACCTCTGTTCAAAATATGCTCCACTGGAGTCAGGTATAACTTGTAAAGTGCATTTCAGTACAATTTTATCCATACTACCCAGGTTTATCTCATCATTCTAGGATTAATGCCTTAAAATGATAAATTCGGAAGGATAAAATGAAATTATTACATATTTGTATAATTCTTTATAGTTTATAATGTGTTAATGTCATAATTTATTAGAGCCACTAAACCTAAGCAATAATCAGAGCAATATTATTTTCTGTTTTACAACTGAGAAAGTGTTAATACAGTAGAATAGGCATCATATAATTCATGCCCATCATTTGACTTGCCCGAAGATTCAAAGCTATTCCTTTAAAAAAAAAAACTAAGTTTAGAACACAGGTCTCCTAATGCCTAGTTTTTCACATGACATTTTCTTCTCTGTTAAGTTGTGAACTTAATGAAGACCATCATCAAGTTTTGTTCATTTTTGTATTTGCAAGGCCAAGATTTCTTGGCAAAGAGTAGATACTCAAGAATATTTGTTGAATGAATATTGATGAAGAAAAATAATTCAGTGTGAATATCATCTTAATGTTGAGAACCAGGAAAATATCACAGAAAGAACGCTATTTTTTTTTTTTAAATATATCTTTATTGATTTCAGAGAGAGGAAAGGAGAGGGGGAGAGAGAGACAGAAACATCAATGATAAGAGATTCATTGATCGGCTGCCTCCTGCACGTCCCCAACTGGGGATCAAGGCCGCAACCTGGGTATGTGCCCTGACCAGGAATCGAACCCCTAGGATCTCCTAGGATTCCCTAGGATCTCCTGGATCCTAGGTTGACGCTCAACTGCTGAACCACACCTGGCCAGGCAACACTACTCTTGAGATCAAAATACCAGACATTGAATCTTTTCTTTGAACCTTACTGTCAGTGTGATATTGAGTAAGCTCATTTAATCTTTATGAATTGTTTTATTATTTCCTTAATTTAAAAAATAGAACTAATAATAATTATCTGACCTAACAAAAATATTATGAGATTGACTAGGATGATGATTATGAGTGTTCTTTAAATTTAATAAACACTAGGTAAGTTTAAAGTATTATTAAGATATTGGTTAAGAACATTCTCATTTAAAAAATGTTTAAATCTATTGAGTGATTGTTTTAAAATAAATTATTAAAATTATTATCTTTATTATAAGTTATCTTTAGGTTCAGTTTATACCTGGTGGTAGCTAGACGGGGAAGATCTGAGCAACCTTTGCATTTATTCATTCATTGAAATGATATTTATTCAGCATTTATTATTCATCTTGTACTGTTCTATGCTCATCAGTGAACAAAATAAATATTCATGTCTTCCTTAAGCTTACATTCTAGTAGTAGATATGCAGATAGTAAACAATAAACATAGCCAACAAGTAAATTATTAAAATGTTAGAAGGGGATAGAAGCTATGGGAAAATGAGAGGAGATTAGGCATGCTGGGTAATGAATTATACTTTTCAATAGAGATGTTGGGCCAAGCCTCAATGAGATGGTGGCATTTGAGCAAAGATTTAAAGGAGGCGATAACGTTAGCAATGTGAACATCTGGGGAAGAGCATTCCAGATGAAGGGACTAGTGAATGCAAAGCCCTTAGGAGCATTTCTAAAAGGCACAGCTAAGAGGTCAGTGTGGCTGACGTGAGTAATTAAGGGGGAGAGTTGTAGGAAAAGCCAGAAAAGTAGTAGGGAGACAGAAAGGAACTTGTAGCCATTGCAAGGACTTTGGCATTCTGAATGAAGTGGGTAGCCACTGCAGGTTTTTGAGCAGGAAGGTGACATGACATGATTTACATTTTTAAAGGAATATTTTAGCTGCTACATGAGTAGACTGAGTGGGGCAAGGGTAGCTAGCAGCAGTGAGAAATTTAGGGGGTTAATCCAAACACTAATTAATGATGGCTTGCACTAATGTGTTCCTAGAGGAGGTGGTGAAAATGATTAGATTCTGAATATATATATATCATGAACATGGAGCCAACAAAATTGAATGATGGATTATATGAGATGTGAGAAAGGAGAGTCTTGGATAACTCTGAAGTTTTTGACCTAAGCAATGAAAAGATGAAATGGCCCATTAACAGAGATAGGGAGGTTTGATGGTAGAGTGGATTTGGTGGAAAGATAAGATGTTCTGTTTTGGAGATGTTAAGATTTAGACATCCAAGTGGTGAATTTAAGTAAGCAGGTTTTTTTTTATAGGAGTCTATAATTTAGAAGAGACTTATAAAAAAAGATAAACATTTGGAATATGGATGACATTTAAAGCCAAGAGACTGGATGAGCACACAGAGTGAGTACAGACAAGAACAGAGGAGCAAGGATTGAGTGCTAACACGTGAGCAGATTAAGAGGCCAGGCAGCAAAGAGTAACAAGGAAACTAAGAGGACCACCGAACAAAAATGAAGATCAAGAAAAAACAGTATTCTAGAAGCTACATGAAGGAAAGATCTCAGGGATGAGGGAATGAACAACTGTGTCAAGTGCTGCTCATGGATAACATGAGAAATTATCAGAATTGACCAAAGATTTAAAAATATCTAGGTCATAAATAACCTTGGCCAGTTTTGGTAGAAAGAGCTGCAAGGAAAGAAGTGTTCTCAGGGAAAATCAGGTTTCCAATAGAGCAAGAAGATAAAGAGGCCAGTTGGAGTTTTAAAATGTAGGCTGATGATAGAATTTTAGATGGCAGAGAGTTTTCAGAGCTGGAAGAGCTAGGAGGAGATAACATAGGGGGTGTATGGACACTTAGAAGGTTTAGGGTACCAGAGAAGATGGGTAACCTGAGAGTCTATATTCTCTTGTAATGAAAGTATAATCAGGGAGGGGAATGGACATAATCATGTTAGACCAAATAGGCTCAAAGCAGATGGTGTCAAGGGTGAAGCAAGGATATTTAGGGAAGTGTCATGTTAATTCTAGTGCACTTAGTCCTAGACACTCACTTTTGACATCTGTGAATGAAGCTAAGGATTTCTGGTGAAGCCTGCTGTCACTCCAAACACACAGGTCCCTTTTAATAAGGTAAAAGGCCTTGGGGAGAAGTGCATTTAAACAAAGAAGATAGATTCACATTCTGTTGATTCCCCTGCCTCCCAATTCCCACCTCTTCCATTTATAATCCTATGCAAAGGAAGAGAGGAGCGAAGAAGACCACATATGCATAAACCAGGCCCAGTAAAAAGGGGCCATATGTACAGTGCATTCCTAATTTGTATCCACTGCCACTGTAATGAAAAAATGAGTATAGTCTTTTTTCTTTTTCTTTCAGCTTTTGAATTCTAGTTACTTGAAAGCTTTTGACTGGGGCAGTCCGGTTCTGAACTTGCTTCATTTTAATCAGGTACATAATTGTATATAAGCTAAAAACTATCACCCTGATCAATTCAGAATATCTTGCTGTAGATAAGGGCTCATCTGTAAAGACTGAGAATACAATAACACAGTAAGAAGGAGCAGTAGATGAAGATCATGTAGATTTGGATCCCTGTTGTCACCTCCAACCATGTGGCATTTCCATGTTTTCTATGTATTTTAGCAAATATCTTGGAGAAGTCTAGATAAGTTGACAGGCAGTGGAATAATTAATCATCCCTCAAGAGAACATGTATATGTTTAAAATATACATAGCTCTGTGTTTATTTAAATGAGAAATAAAAGGCATAATATAGTTCTTGACCCTAAAACTACTTATTTTATTTGGGAAGATAAGATAAACACATATAAGAATTAAGAAAAAGTAGAAGTTAATGTGAACTTGGTAAAAATGGTATGAGTATAATAACAAAAGTCCTGAAGTATTAAAACCCAAGTCTGTCTGATTCAATTTACAGTTTTCCACCATACTTTTATACCGTAGCTAAATTCCATGTCTGATGTGGTTTGCTCATGTAAAGCCTGAAGTCAAATATAAAGATCAAATTCAATAAAATTAGATTTGACCTTGGCTGCCAGTAATTATCACTTATTGATAAACACATTGTCAGCTACAAAAAATTTTGATTAAAATACTTTAATGCTTTATAAATAAAACTAAAATTACTTCTGTAGAATGTTTGAATACTCTGAATTAGAACAAAATATTTTGTTTTGATTTGTATCTGATTTATTTCTAAGTAAAAATTGTAATAGCTGTTCTTTCATACTCATTGCTTCCATAGTAATCATTATTTTAGATGCAGTTATTTTAAAACAGTATTGTAATTTATCATTTAAAGAATTAGTAAATGACACATTCTAGGTATCATTCCCTGTGAAAACACTTATTTTTGTTCATTTATATTTAGACAACTGCTCCACTGTACAATGTGACAAACATGAATGTGCCAACCGCAACTTGGAATGGTAAAAATGACTTGGTGGCTGATCCTGAAGATGTTAACATTTTACTTTCTCAAATCAGAAACCATATTTACCATAAAACTATTTCTCACTACAGCCACATAGACTTTTTGTTCGGATTAGATGCATATCATCAAGTTTACCGTGAAATCATTAATATTATCCAAGGCAACCTGTAAAAACCATGGTCCTTGTTTTGAAAGATCTATATAATTTCTATTAAAAGCCAATTGTGAGTTTGTGAGTTCAATCCCAATCCAAGTGCGTATGGGAGGCAGCTGATCAATACCTCCCCTCCCTCTCTCTTTCTCTCTCTCTCTCCTCCTTTCTCTCTCTATCCTTCCCTCTAAAATCAGTAAGAATAAGAATGTTGTTAATACAGCATAAAAGTATTTTAGAGAAAAATATTTAGAGAATGTCATGTTAATTGACTTCAAAGTAGTCAGATGATCCTTCAAAGAAGGCAAATGTAATTGGACAATTATTCAGAAGAATTATCCTTTAAGGAGTAAGTTAGAAGTTTCTGGTAATGGTATACTGAATAATTCAGACCTGGAAAAATGTAAAAAATATTTACCTGAAAACAAGGAAAAGCTAGAAATGTAGTGAAGAGTTACAGGGTCAAGAAAAAGAAACCCAGAGAAATAAGCCTGGCATTCTAGATGTGTATATCCTTGCAACACCTAGTTAATGTACAAGTAATGATTAAAAGCCTGAAAAAAATAGTGGAAAATAAAAATTGTAATTCAGCCTACGAAGGGGAAGTTTCTCTGGTAAACCTCAATCCTCAGACTTCTGAGTGGAATGTCAAAATACTGTACTCTAAGACTAAAATTGAACTGGAAATTGATCTCCCTTTCAAGAACTGTAGCCCAGCTTTGGATCATATGAATTCTTAATGTACTAGGATGATTTGGGAATACTAATGCCCTAGCCATCCATCAGAAGCAAAAGTAAATCCTCTCAGGAGGGAAATCAAGTTATCCAAGATGTTAGGACTAATGCTAAAATTTTGCAATGTTTAAGAATAGGTCAATATATAAAACTAAGTTGTATGTTTACATACTAGCATCAAATAATTGCAACATGAAAATTAAAATATACTGTTTACATGATCGACAGTTATGATACATAGAAATACAGAGACAAATATGCTCAAGTTGGAAGATAATATTATTAAGATACCCACTCTTCCGAAATTTACCTGTATTCAAAGAAATTTTAATCAAAATCCCAGCAAGCTTTTTTCCTAGAAATTTTTATGTTGATTCTAAAATTTATATAGAATTACAATGAACCTAGAATTGTCAAAACAGTTTTGAAAAAGGTTGGGAGACTTGCAATACTCCATTTGCAATTCCATATACTGAATTGCAATACTTAAATCACAAAGCTACGTTAATTAAGACAGTGTGGTATTAGTATTAAAATATACCCAGACTCAAGTATTAAAATATACCCAGTGTGGTATTAGTATTAAAATATACCCAGTGTGGTATTAGTATTAAAATATACCCAGACCCAGACAGTGTGGTATTAGTATTAAAATATACCCANCGTTAATTAAGACAGTGTGGTATTAGTATTAAAATATACCCAGACTCAAGGAACAATACAGAGTTCAGAAGTAAACTACACCTACGTGGTCAATCTTCAATGGGGTAAAGGACTATTTTTTCAAAAATCTATATCATCACAGAAAAAAGATGAACTTTGACCTTCACATTACATAGTACATAAAATTTAACACGAAATGAATCATAGACCTAAATTTAGAACCCCAAACTCTAAAACTTCTAGAAGAAAACAGAGGAAAAGTTCTTTGCAACCTTTGAGTAGTCAAAGCTAGATCAGACAATAAGAGCAACTGTAAGGAAAATTTTGATAGATTGAATGCCATGAAAATTAAAATCTGCCCATCTAGTGGTACTTAAGAGAATGACAGACAGCTGCCAACTGAGAGAAAATATTTACAACACACATATCTGACAAAAAATGTTTATCTAGGATATGTAAAAATAAGCCTTACAACTCAATAAGAAGAAAAGTAACCCAAGAAAAACTGAGCAAAAGACTTAAACAGATTCTTCAAAATGGTGAACTCCTCAGAATAGATAGTGTCTCATTTAAGAGAGTAAGAAATTGTTTGATGGTGGGAGGAAGGTATAGAAAGGAAAAAAGAAATCAGAGACACACATATGATCTCAGTTCTTTATCTCCAATACTTTTTTTGTCTAGACCCTTTCTTATACCCCTTCTCCACTACCACACCTCTAGTTGTATATGTTCCTCTGTCTTCTCATCTCCTACAGTGATTGGCCTTGTCCTTGGTTTACCTCTGTGCTGAAGGGGTAAGGTAGGTGCAAATTAGGATGGTCGGATGGTACGTCCGAGGAAGATTAGGGTAGGAAACGAAAAGGTCTAATTATTTTCTTAAGATAATATTTCAATAAAATAAAATGTGTTTAAATGAGATACATTTCATTAGTTTGCCTTTTATTTGTTTAAATCTCATTCCATGCCTGGAGAATGATTCGTTTTGCAACTGTGTCATGTGACTGACCTTCCTTATTCTCAAGTACATTAGTCTAGGTGACAGGTGAGTGGGAAGTTTTCTAATGACATTACTTTTAGTGGAGCCCTTATTCTTTCCAGTAAATAAAGAAGGAAAAGTTGAGATTCTCTCTACATAGACAATAATTTCTATTTGTCTATTTTGACTCATTTAGTATCATTTCTTTGTGAAAAGTTCCAGGGAAATAATTCTTGAATTTTAAAAGAATAGTGATTTAATTTTATTCTTTCAAAAATATTGGGCAAGTTCTGGTGATCACAACGTGTTAGAGTATATAACTGAAAAAGTAGTACATTAAATATCAAACTCCATAATCAGGACATTTTCAATAAATAAAAAATAGAAGTTTTACAACAGAGGAATTAATCAATATCTTACTAAATGTGTGTTCTGAAGTTGTTTATTTATCATTCCATTGTTTTCAGCAGACTATTTCAGAAAATAAATTTTCCAATTCTTCAGAATTCTGCCAGTTAACCTGATTGCTCCAGTACATATGGCATCCCTTGGTTTCCCTCATTGTTTCTTGGATATGTGAAGAGTCTAATCTTCTGATTTCCTCCAAAACACAGAATCTCCAACCAAATTGTTAGCCAACTAATTCAATATCTGCAGAATCTTGAACCCCAGCTGCCGCCTCTGCTAAACATTTCACTTCTGTGGTTTTGAAAATCTGAGCCAGCATTTCTGATATTGGGAAAGACTCATGGGATGTTACATTAGGTCATAATAAGAAACAAATTTACGAGCAGAGTTTGGAGATTGATCTTTAATTTTTTTTTTTGTTTTGGAAAATTTCTTAGGGGCCATTTGCTACCATGTGAACTATTTACACCTGCTAGGTTTATATTATCATGGAATTATATCTGATGCCTAGTTTTGTGAGGTGAAAAAATTCTTAACAAAGATGACTTCAATGGAAAAAAGGTTCTGAGTCCCTCTCTGTCACCTATTTCTGCTCCTAATCAGGAAAACAAATTTTTTTGAAGTGTAAAGTTTGGATGACTAAATATTGTTCTGTTTAAAGCTATAAAATAATCATGTTTGCATTTTGATAATCAAGTTCATATCAGAAAAAAAGGTTTCAGGTACTAATCTCATTTTGATTATAAAATACATGATCTATCAATATTAAGTGGATGAAACTATCATTTTGAGATTAATGACTGTTATAGCTGAATTCTGCCCCCTCCTCCCCAACTCATATGTTGAAGTCCTTACCTCAGAATGGGGCTATATTGGATATAAGGTCTTTAAAAATGTAATTAAGTTAAATGAAGTCATTAGGATGGTCCCTAATCCAATATGACTGGTGTGCTTATAAAAAGAGTAAGTTTGGACAAAGGTATGAAGGGAAGAAAATGTGATAACACAGGAAGGAGACAATTGCCTGCAAGTCAAGGAAAGTGGCTTCAGAAGAAATCAACCATGCTGACACCTTGAACTTCTAGCCTCCTGAACTGTGAGAAAATAAATTTCTATTGTTTAAGCCACCCAGTCTGTGCTACTTTGTAATAGTAGCCTTAGCAAGCTATTCCAGTGACATTCGGTGGGTGCTCCAGAGAACGCCAAAACCCAGAAGGTAACTATGCCTATAATCTGAAGCTGCTCTTAACTCCTCCAATCACCAACTGCATGCTTTTAGCCAAGTGTACCTGAGCTGAATTTCACATTTGTAAATTGAAGATGATACTTACTGGCTATCTTACAGGTTGGCTCTAAAGATCATACATAATAATTCAAGTAAAAATTGAATAACGTCCAAAGTGTTACCTAAAACTAATGGAATCTTAATAGTTTTAAATCTGTTGGACCTGCTCTGGACATCACATGACTTAGCCAAAGACAACTTTGTTTCTCAGGTTTCTGTCATATATTAGATATTGATTGGGGTAGCAGATTCTGTCTATAAATTCTTAGATTATCACAAGTTTTCTCCCCAAAACAGTTTTTCATAATTCTATCCCAATACTTCTGCCTCTTAGCCAAAACCTCCTTATACCTCAGCTCTCTACTTACCTCCATCGTGGGGGACTCATAAATTTGCCTTACCCAAGTGGTAGTGACAGGAGAGGAGGGGCGGGGACAGACCTCAGCAAGATTAGGGCTGTACCCCATTGAGTCTAAGGGTGATATCAACACCTTTATCTCTAGAACTATGGAATCAATTCAAGAATGACTGGCCAGACCAAAACTGGTCTTGCTCTATAGAAATTCTAAAACACACCTTCCTTTTTTCCTTCAAGAGAGTCAACAAAGCAGATCTGATTTCAATAACATATTTTACTGTTGTCTTAAAGATTAGAAGAAAAAATACTGTCTCTCCACAATCTCAGTCTGTGTGTAGGTCACCAAAGCTTACCAGGTATGTTGGGACTACTGTGGTAAGGATCTTTATATTTTACTAATATGCAAGTAAGTGGTCTTTTTCTAGAAGCTATGGGTTTTAAAACCAACTTACTTTTACTACTACTAATAATATTAATAAAATACACATTCCCTTCTAGTAAAGCATGGCTTTACAAAGACCTAATGTTTTTCAGTATAATTGTTTGTGAAAACTCTTTTCTTTCTTCCTGCTCACTTAGCCTATTCGTCCACAGTGCCAAGTGACTGGAAAAGGTTCCTGTCTGACCCAAGGATGACAGCAGCTTCCTCTGTCAAATCCATAGCCTCATT